TTAATGAAATACGAGCATTTGCACGTTCTCAAAAAAAAATTAATAATATCAAATATTGCAATAGTTTAAAATTATTGGCCAAACATTATAATGTTTGACTCTTGACATACCTAAAATGTCTTATAAACTGGATCAGAGGTGTAAGAGCGACTCTACCAAATTGAGAAAAGCAATCTCCTTTCCGTAAAAAAATATCATATAGAGGAATAAGATGGAAAAAAAAAACTGCTCCAGCAACTCCCCTTTCTTAATCCTCTTTCTCTAATTTTTTTTCCCAAACCCTCAGAAACTCCCCTCAATCCTCTAAACAAAGGTGAAGTGGCACATATTCTTTTCTCAACCCCTTTTTCCCTCCTCAACGTGTGGATCTACAGGATGGAGGCCCCTACTGCAGAGCTCCCCCTCAGTCTGGAATTGAGTTTTTTTTTTGGAAAATTGGTTCTGGAGCATCGAAGGATCGCGACTTCCGTAAAATATCACTGAAAGACATCGGTCTCGTAAAATACCACTGAAAGGTGCACACGTGAACTGAAAGTACCATTCTGTTAGATTTGAGCGTTAGGTCTGTTAACTTAGACCAAAATACCCCAAACCGGTACAAGAGCTCTAAAAACATAAGAATCAAACCCCAAACCGGTACAGGAGCTCTAAAAACATAAGAATGAAGTACAGGGCATGATCTGGCAGCATTTCAACACATACAAGTCACCATATGCACTAAATATTGACCAAGCACATGAAAAATATTCTGGTTCAACACATGGACTAATATTGACCAACACATCTTGCAAGCACATAGCCAAATAGATTCACAATACAGGAACCATATTGGTCTGGTCCAACACATGCAGAACAACACATGCCCAAAATAGGTTAAGTACATGACTTTTTCATACAACAACAGTTTAGCCTAGTTTATGATGACCCTCCTAGTAATGCCTCCTGATGATGTATCTAGTTGTGCTGCCATTCGTCTTGTTATTGGCCCTAGACTCGCTGGTGTGCCTGGTGGTCTTGTTGGTGTAGAAACAGAAGCTGCCATCCTTCTTGTTGTTGGTCCTGGACTAACTGGTGCTTGGATGGCTAAGGAAGTAGAGGGGCTAGCTGTAGCTGTACCAGGTGATTGAGTGACTAAAGAAGTAGAGGTTATTATTCCTGTATCATTCTTTGAAGTACCACCTCCTCCCTTTCTTTTCCTACATAACAGCAATGTAATCAAATCATTTTGCATGTAGGGTAATTCAGCTAAAACATGAAACTTGAAGTTCAACTTACCTAGGTTCAACAGCAAGTTCAGTAGGGGGCTCAGAAGAAGTAGAGGTTCCTGTAGCATTCTTCTTGGACTTTTTGGAAGCATTCTTGCATTTTGAAGTACCACATCCTCCCTTTCTTTTATTTTATAGTAATGTAATCAAATATTTTGTAATGAAAAAAAAGAAATCAATTAAATCATTTTATCCTTTGATGATGGATAAACCGAACACTGCTTGATGTTTTGAAAAAGTTAAATCAATTATGTTTGGTAAGACAGATCTCACTTTATCCGTGTAATTGATGATATGAGGACATCCTCCACTATTAACTTACCGGCAAAAACGCAACAAAGGGGCCAAGTGGCCTGATGTTTTGACAATGTTATTTTGCTTCAACTCACCTAAAAGGAGAGCCAGGCTTAGGGATATGTTTGGTAAGACCTGTCAACACTCGGCCAAAACCGTGTCAATATGGGTGAATAAAGACAATTAAGCAAAGACGCAACAAAGGGGCCAAGTGGCCTAGTTGAACTGTTGAAGCTTGATTGAGAGCCACACTTTCATTGTTTTTCCAACCAGCCTTGCTGGGGTCCGGACAGCCTTAATGCACGCCAAGTTGGGCGGATGCATCTAGCGCGATGCACAGTTGCAGACTAGCGCTCTTTGTATGGTAAAATCTCTTCCCTCACTCTGCTTAACACAAAACCTGGCCGAATACCTGGTACCAGTCTATTGTTTTCTACATCAATTGATATATGAACTGTTTTCATTAGCTTAATCGACTACTGTCAGGGTGAAGAAGACAGAAATTAAGTTTGAGGGAATCTAACTTAATGCAAGTGCCCAATATTCAAGCAAGACACATCTACTTGACATCCCTTTTCTACTGCAAGCTGCATGGCGGGCCCAAGATCAATGTTCAGTGCAAAAACCACCCTTACCTGGACGATCTAGTAGGGCGCGGCAAAGCCACGCCTCGGTTTCTAGTTGAACTGCTAAACGAATTTCCTTTTCCATCATGTATAGCTGGAGAAATGTAGAGCTGTAATCTAATTTATTTATTATATAACTATATATTTTATAACTAACGAGTTCTAATATACTAATTTATACTTACCTTCATGTAAAACAGTAAAAGTCACATGATAAAAAATTATTTTTTGATTTGCCCATTAGAAAGCCTTGCCACTTTGCCAGTGTGATAAAATATTAGTTTCTGATATACTGTGAGTGCAGACTTATGGCTAAATTCCTTGATAGTTGAGATCGCATGATTCAAAATACATAGAATTGCTGCAACAAATTAGATATAGTCGCACACAAAGCTAAAAGCTTAGAAGTACCTTCGGATCAAGAAATAATTTCAATTTCCTGATACAGCTGCATCTCCTAAGGAGATGAAACATCATTGCCAGAAGAGCATGGTGATTCGCCATGAAATTAATAATAAGGGATTCACATATTGGAAGCTTATCCATTTCCTGCAGGAAGGTCACATATCCAGCTATTTCCTGCCATATGCACAATTTTCATTAAGTTTAATGAGAAGATGAAATCAGCAAATTATCAGTAGTTTTATTTGCAAAATTACCAATGTTTCGGCTCTAATTCTTGAAACAAAGTAATTAACATTGGCCCTATTGATGAATTATAAGAATAGAATGATAGAAAAGTTGCTCTTAACTCGTGTCTTCAGAATAGCTATTACGGTTCTTAAAGATAGGGAAGTAATGGCTTCAGTGCAAGCAGCAGGGGTTTTCACTAAGTTGTGTCCAAAATTATCAAGTTTTACATTGTGTTCAGCTTGGCTACCTTTTACAAAATTGTAAAATCTTTTCTCTAGTTTGCAGACATAACATTTAACATTGAATTTGTCATGAAATTTTGTGCATAAACAAATTACCCGATGAAGTGCGAGACACAAATCGGACTTCGTAACTAATTTCAGTTGTACTACGAACCATGAAGTAGATAGCTAGGGTTTCATTCTTACCCGTCGGGGATCTCAGATCGATGCATTGTTCCACCGCATGCGCACTGGAGGAGGAGGAGGAGTCACGGCCGGCGCAACACGCAGTCGAGGAGGAGGAGGTGGTGGACAGTGCAGGCGGCGCGGCCTCCGCGTGACGAGCGGCCCGCGGCGGACAGCGTGGCCTCCACACGGGGAGCGGCCTGCGCGCCAAGAGGAAGCCGCGGCGATCGGCGTTGGAGGCCCTCGGAGCTCCCAGGCGGCCGGCGGACGGGCGGAGGCGGCGCAGCCTCCGCACGACGAGCAGCCCGCGGCGGATGGCGCAGGCGGCGCGGCCTCCGCGCGAGTACCAGCCCGCGGCGGACGGCGCGGCCTCCACACGGGGAGCGACCTGCGCGCGGAGAGGAAGCCGCGGCAGCCAGCGCAGGAGGCCCTCGGAGCTCCCGGCGGCCGACGGACGGGCGGAGGCGGTGCTCCATAGGCAGAACCGAGTGCAGCGCGGCTGTCTCACTTGCGCGGCGCAACTCTCACTTTCCCGTATGAGGATAAGGCAAGGGTAAAAATGTCAGCTAACTTTTGGAGTTTAGGTCAAATTAACGCTCCTCAGTTATAAACCTGACGGAATGCTATTTTCAGTTTACGGTGATAACTTTTAGTGCTATTTTATGGAGTCAAACTCTTTCAGTGGTATTTTACGGAGGTCGCAACCCGTTCAATGCTACCGAACCAATTTTCCCTTTTTTTTCAATCGCCTATATTAAGTTTTAAGGGAAAAGAGAAAGAAGATCCGGTGGAGTTGCTCTTGTGATCATTTGCATGGGCACTACGTTACAAACAATAGGTCATGTTTGTAACGCATGTATGCGAGGAATAACCAAAAGGAATGATTGGAGTCTTGGCCTCAAGATTGCCATCCCGCCAAATAAAGCGCAGTGTACTGATAACGATATATATGCTCTTTAAGTCATTATCTAAAAAATGCTCTGTAATTAAGTCATGGTCGTGCATGCAATGGGCATCGCCATCCGACCCGGACCGCGGAGGGAAGATAAGAGGGTATATGTCTTCGCGGACATTAACACGGCAGGACCACGGCGATATGTGCATACATTTTGTCCGGCCTTGTGAGAAGTGAGAACAAGGCAGACAGAGACGCAATGTTGGACTCGGCTTATTATGATCAATGATAGATAGATAGATAGATAGATGCTCCAAAACTGGCTGGCTTCAAAGTCAACTGCTTGCTACTCCCTCCGTTCTTATTCAAACGCATCAGGCGCGCTAAACTGCTAATCATTCAACCTGTTCGCTTGTTGGTTTCAGTCAGAGCTTATCAGTCAGCCAATAATATTTTTCTCTCACAACGAGCCAGTACCAGCCGAGCTTATCAGCCCAGAAACCGACCAACGAACAGGCCGATTATCATATCATATACTATCGCCCCCTTCTTTATTATATAACCCATCCATGTCAACCACCCGTATGCCAAAGCACAATTCATGGGATATTCCCCGCAAATTTTGCATTCTACGCAATACCTAGACCAGACCGACTCGGTTGAAGCCCGCCCAAGGAAACAGAACGGTTGCTAGGTAATCTCTCTCTCCAGCCCAACCCAGGAGACCTCGTCTAGTTGCTGCATCCCATCCCTCTATATATACCTATACCGGCCGTATCTCCGACTCCAATTAGTTGTGTTGTGGGAGTCAGAAGAGGAGGGCAAAGAAAAAAGCAGGGCAGGAAGCAGAGCAAGCGAAGGCGAGCAGAGCACATCGATGATGGGGGATCTCCCTCTCCGCCGCCGCGTGCGCGTGGGCCTCCTGTTCGCGGTCGTCGTGCTCCTGGGCGGCGGCGGCGCGGACGCCGGCGTGACGAGCTCGTACCGGCGGAAGCTGGAGGCGACGGTGGAGATGCCGCTGGACGCCGACGTCTTCCGCGTCCCGCCGGGGTACAATGCCCCGCAGCAGGTACGGTAGGTCCGCCGTAGCGTGCCGGTGCGGCGGTGCCGGATCAGATTCCCGCCCGTCCTGGCCGCTCGCGTCCATCGCATACCTTCTTCTCTCTTTTTCTTTTTCTTTTTCTTTTTCTTTTTCTTTTCCATCCCATCCCATCATCCACCAGTGAGCACTAACTCAGCAATCGACGGATGGGCATGAACGCAGGTGCACATCACGCTGGGCGACCAGGAGGGCACGGCCATGATCGTGTCGTGGGTGACGCCCAGCGAGCTGGGCAACACCACCGTCGCGTTCGGCGAGCACCCGGACCCGGAGAAGATGGAGCGCCGCGCCGAGGGCACACACACGCGCTACGACTACTTCAACTACACCTCCGGCTTCATCCACCACTGCACCCTCAAAAACCTCAAGGTCCGTTGGTTGGTTGGTCAGTTAGTTGCTAAGATCGATACTCGGATCCATCCGATCCTCCACAGCCCAGGAGGTCTCTCCATATGTCATGCATTTAGTAGCTTTTTCCAGAATCAATAAAGAAATATGCAACCTGATGACCTCACTAGGTAGCTAGGCCATGAATGAATTGCTATATTAGCTAACTGCTAATTAGCTAGTAATTACTAATGGCCGCCCCGCCATGGATGACCATGCTTGCAGCACAGCACCAAGTACTACTACGGCATGGGGTTTGGCCACACGGTGAGGACCTTCTCCTTCACCACGCCGCCCAAGCCGGGCCCTGATGCGCCCTTCAAGTTCGGCCTCATCGGTAACCAACTCCCATCATTAATTGTTTCGTTCCAACTCTTTTCTTCCCCCGCAAAAAAAAAAAAAAAAATCATCTTAGACTACGTTAAATTTTTTTTCTAGACTTATATGAAAATAGCATCAATACCTAGTATCTCTAAATACGTTTGCTGTGAAAATACATTTCCTTCATTATTTATACAACTATACTTATCAATTATAATAAATATTGTTTGTTTACTTCTTATATATATCTAATAAAATTTGAGATTGGTTGATTTCTAAAAGGATGAGAATGACATTTTTTTTCAACCTAGGGAGTAGTATAGTAGTAGAAAATTACAGCTCAGGTCGACATAAACGAGGTTGTTTGAATAGTCCTACGTACTAGCTGGAATCTGGATTCGATGAGATCCCTCCCATAAACGAGTTCCCCAAGCATCCAATGGTCAATGTCCCATAAAATACCACTAATTTATTTACCACTCCAAATTAGTACTCCCTCGATACTCTAAAAAATAAAATCGTTTTGGACGAGACTTGGTTTAAACATTGGAAATATAAATCATAAATAACTTTTAAGTTATTGAGTTTGAAAATGTGAAAACCATATGTATAGATTTGTCTTGAAAAATACTTTCACAAAAATTTACATATATCACTTTTTGATAAATATCTTTATTAAAATAAGTAGTTAAAGTTATGCTTTGGAGACCGTGTCGCAGTCCAAAACGAATTCATTTTTGAGTATGGAGGAAGTATATTATATATACCAATGTCCCAATCCCAACCATGATTTTATCTGGGGAAAAAAAACAAGAATCTTGCTACCACTGTACTGATAGTGCCATCTGGACGTCAATCGCAATGTGGAATCAAGCTTCCATGCCGTATAGACCAGGGATTCACAAAACCTCGTAAAAAAATGTGTTCAGATTTGGCCCTTTTTTAAGTCTACTCCTACAAAACTAGGAGTACGTACCAATTCATTGAATTGAATCATATACAAATGTGCCTAAACTAGTATATTATATACTAATGTCTCAATCCCAGCCATGATTTTATATTATCTTACAAAAAGAGGGAATCTTTGCTACCACAAGTGTCATTGCCGCCCGTTGCCATCTGGACGTCAACTGCAATGTACGCAATCAAGCCTGAGTGCCGTGTTGACCAGGGGATGACTCACAAACCTCGTAGAAACTGTGTTCAAATTTGCCACTTTTCTAGTCCTACCAATGTAGGAGTAGTACACGACGTACTAGCACCAAATTCATTGAATCCTCTACGTCTATCATATCATTGATCTCGTGCCTGACAACTGACGATGCTGCCGCCGACGACTCTGACTGCTGACCCGGCCCATGACTGACTGACTGACTGACTAATGAATAATGCAATGCAACGCAGGCGACCTCGGGCAGACGTTCGACTCCAACACCACGCTCTCACACTACGAGGCCAACGGCGGCGACGCCGTGCTGTACGTCGGCGACCTCTCGTACGCCGACAACCACCCGCTCCACGACAACAACCGGTGGGACACATGGGCACGCTTCGTGGAGCGCAGCGCGGCGTACCAACCCTGGATCTGGACGGCGGGGAACCACGAGCTGGACTTCGCGCCGGAGCTGGGCGAGACGACCCCCTTCAAGCCGTTCACGCACCGGTACCCGACGCCGTACCGCGCCGCGGGCAGCACGGAGCCGTTCTGGTACTCGGTGAAGATCGCCTCCGCGCACGTCGTCGTGCTCGCCTCCTACTCGGCCTACGGCAAGTACACGCCGCAGTGGACGTGGCTGCAGGCGGAGCTGCAGCAGCGCGTGGACCGGACCACCACGCCGTGGCTGGTGGTGCTGATGCACTCGCCGTGGTACAACAGCAACAACTACCACTACATGGAGGGGGAGACGATGCGGGTGCAGTTCGAGCGGTGGCTCGTCGACGCCAGGGTCGACATCGTGCTGGCCGGCCACGTCCACTCGTACGAGCGCAGCCACCGCGTGTCCAACGTCGCCTACAACATCGTCAACGGCAAGGCCACGCCGGTGAGGAACGCCGACGCGCCGGTGTACGTGACCATTGGGGACGGCGGCAATATTGAGGGGGTTGCGGATAACTTCACGCGCCCGCAGCCGGGGTACTCGGCGTTCCGGGAGGCGAGTTTCGGGCATGCGACGTTGGAGATCAGGAACCGGACGCATGCGTACTACTCGTGGCACCGGAACCATGACGGCGCTAAGGTCGTCGCCGATGGCGTCTGGTTGACTAACAGGTACTGGATGCCCACCGACGACGACGCCATCTGATGATCCTCGATCATCGTCGTCCCTTTCGGTCCAGGGCACACGTTTATGAGAATGTTGTCGTTCTCGAACACGAACATCGCAATAGATCAGCGTCGTAGCACGTTCCTGCTAGGTGCTAGCCCCCTGTATGTTGGTTCTCCAAACCGTTGATTCAGTGGAATCGGAAAAACATGATGTAATGCAATGAGTTTTATAATGATCAGCAATAAGAAATATGCCTGCGGCTGTAGGTCGAGTACATACAAATGCAAAATGTAGCATCGCAGGTCGGCTGGTCAGCGGCTGCCTATACCCAGTGTACGTGCGACAGACGATCCGCAATTCCGCATAGAACCGTTTCTTTGCATGTGCTGTCCGTGTGGAACCACACACTCATTCAGTGGAATCGCGGCCGATGATGCGACAGCCGACAGCATCAACTCCACGCAGTAACAGGATGGTCGGTCCGCTCTTGCATGCGCGGCCGAAGCTACAAGTCTACAACCTCGCTCACCTTTGTCGTTGAGGTTCTGCACCGCCTCACGCTTCATGCAGCAGGAGTGCGCATCCCCTACCCTATCTTCCACTTCCACAGTGGTCGGTCGACGACGGACGCCGCTTATCAAAGATTCAAAGTTAGGCTCCACTAGAATGAATGTGCAACTGGGATTCTCGCCACTTTGCCTTTTACCAATCATGATGATTCTCGCCACTTTACCTTGTATCAATCATGATTCCGACGCTAGCTAGCTAGCTAGTATGTCTTTGGTTTTTTTTTTTATCTATGTATATATGATCATTTTCTCTGCATACAAAATCGGCCCCAGCCTTAACTTTGCCGTTGACCGAGTTAGCCTAATCCCTTGCTGGCGGACACGGACGTGGCGCTCCCTCTCTCTCTCGTGTACTCTTCTTGCGCATTGAGTAGTCATCGGCGTGGATCAGTCGCCAGACATGAAGGAGACGACGTGGTGCGCGCGACAAAGGCCATGTTTGCGAAGCCGCCGTTCTCGCGGGGGCAGCGCGTCGCCTGCGGCCCGAGATGCACTTGCAAACCGCGGCGACGTACCAGAGTTTTTTTTTTTTAAACGAATCATATTGAATAGCTGTCAATTATAGTCTGACAATTATATTAACAAGAAGTAGCACAACAAAAACTATTATAGACTAAAACAACCAATAAAAACAACAACAACAACAACAAAGCAACAAATCAAAACTCTATCGGCCATAGCCGATTGAAATGGAATTTATCAATCATTGCCGGTTGAAATGGAATTTTCACACGTGACGCACAAAACTGTCACAGGCTCACCAACTACGCAACTATACTAGTATAAATGAGCCCTCTACAAGCTTCACACCATTGCTAGCCACACATCACATTGCATCGTCATCGCCAGACGATAGAAACCGCCAAGTCGAAAAGTCATCGTCACTGCTCACACTGTCATCGTGGACCATGTCAAGGACCAAACTAGCCCCGCTATGCAGGGCTAGTCACCACGATACATTGTATGATGTGTAGCCACAATGATTTTGCATCCACTTGCACCACCTCTTGGCGTTGATCACCGGACTAGCCCCTACCATGCACGGCTAGTTGCCATAGTTTGTTGTAAGTAGCCAAGCCCAAAAACATGAGTCACTACCTTAGGTCTTCCGCCACGCTAACCATGACAACCGAGTTCCGACTACGAACATTATAGCTCTTGATAACCCAGTCGCCTCTTCGAAGATAGTGGAAGTATCTCTTAGGTTTTCCAACAGTCATTAGAAAAGCCTCCATGCACCAGAATGCCATTGCTAAGTAGAACCACCCCACTGCCACACCACACGTACAGGTCACTTTGGCAACGCACTTCCGCTGGCCACCTCCTTCGACGCCGGCCTCCTTGTTTACTTCATTGTCATTGCTAATGCGTATGGGTCCCACCAAACCACCGTCCTCCCACTACCAACTAGAATACATGCCCTCATCATTGTGTCAACGCCTCTATCTATTCGTCTTCTTCCACCAAGGACACCCGCATCTCGAGTCGTTGACTTGGTCTCCTCCCTCTGCATCACAACTACGCCAACGACCTTTGATTGCGGGCCTATTTGGTTGCGTACCTCGCCTGGGTACCATCAGCTAGAGACAACCATCACAGCCACCCCAGGCATCCGAAATCAAACCCTACGTCCAGTTTGGGTCGGTCGGTGACTTTATTCCTGAGCCCAGGTGCTCAAAGTTTGCTGTGAGGTTACAAACGGAAGAGAGTAAGACAGGGGTGCAAGAGGTCCGATCGGACTACGGACCGAAGGGCCGAGAGTGACGGGGGCTCCGCTATGCGCTAAGTGTTCGAACGTCCGTCGTTCGTTGTTGGTTGTTCGAATCGATTGATGGGTGGTCGAATCGTCTGAGAGTCGTCCTTATTGGGAGAGAGTGCATCCCCTTTTATAGATGAAGGGGACGGCCTTATAAGTGAGAGAGGGAGAGTTTACGTATGCTACTAAGTCTTATTGCCCACGCCGTCGGTTACAATGATGATTGTAGGAGCAACAACACTGTTTATGTCAAACGCATGTGGGAGGTTTTACCGTATTCACCATGAATGGCAAATGACGGCGCCCACAACACTGGTGATACCCAGAGGCATGTGGGGGGTTTTTACCGTGTTCGCCTGGTATGGGAGTTGAGGGCGCCCACAACACTGTAGGGCAAACGTCGGCGCCCACAACACTGCTGGGGCTCTGACATGCCTGGAAGGTGGCAGGGCACCCTTCTGACATGCCCTGTCGGTACTGTGCTGCAGGTGTATAGGGTACGGTCCTTGGTATTGCGGTTGACTTGAGCGCCCTGCCTTACTTGCTCCGCTCATTTCCTGGGTCCTCACCGAGCGGGCGTCCCTGATCGGTTGGTCCCAGTCGGCTCCGACTGCGCCAGTCGGAGAAGAGCTGTAAGCAGAGGTTTGGTGAATCCCTGGTCGGAGACGCGGGTCGAAGTCGGAAGTGGCGTTGGCTAGGACTTCGGTCGAAGAGGCGGGCCGGAGTCAGAAGCGAGCGCTGTTCCTCTTTGGCCAGGCCTTCTGATCGGAGAGGCAGGCCAGAGTCGGAAGCGAGTGTCGTTCCTCCTTGGCCAGGCCTTTTGGTCGAAGAGGCGGGCCGAAGTCGGAAGCGAGCGCCGTTCCTCCCTGGCCAGGCCTTCCGGTCGGAGAGGCAGGCTGGAGTCAGAAGCGAGCGTCGACCTTTCCTTGGCCAGGCCTTCCAGTCGTAGATTAGATCGCCCTTCTGGGCCGGACCAGGAGTTGCGCGTCGCTCGCAACGTCGTCTGCTGGGCTGAGCTTTTGCTGGAAAGCAGGTCCATGAGGGACCCCGGGTTTATGAACCCGATAGGAGCCCTCGAGCCCCCGGGCGATTCAAGTAGAATCGCCTGGGGGATTTTCTTGGTTTTGACGGCGGGTGCACGCAAGCGCACCCGCGGGTATAGCCCTCGAGCCCCCGGGTGATTCAGGTAGAATCGTCCGGGGGGGTTTCGTGTTGCCAGCGGGGGAATTTTTCATTTTGACAGCGGGTGCGCGCGAGCGCACCCGCGGGTGTAGCCCTCGAGCCCCTGGGCGATTCCGGTAGAATCGCCTGGGGGGTTTTGTCAGCGGGTGTGTGTGTGTGCGCCTTGGTGGGCGTAGCCTCCTCTTTCTAGTTTCTGACCCATTGTTTCCAGGAGCGCGGTCCTAGGAGTTTGGTCGTGGCCGAGGGACTAGGCGAGATGGAGCCGTCAACCAGGGCACCGGGCGCGCCGAGGGTTCGGGTGAGTTGGAGTCCTGGATCCAGGGATCGAGTGAGTCAGAGTCATCAAACAAGGCGTCGGGCGTGCCAGGGGACCGGAAGAGACGGACTCATGGGTCCAGGCGTTGGGCGTAGCCGAGGGATTGAGTGAATCGGAGTCGCGGATCCAGGCGTCGGGTGCGCCACACCAGGCGTCGGGTGAGCCGAGGGATTGGGCAAGTCAGAGTCATAGATCTAGGCGTCAGGCGTAGCCGAGGGATCGGGTGAATCGGAATCGCGGATCCAGGCGTCGGGTGCGCTGAGGGATCGGGCAAGTCGGAGTCGCAGATCCAAGCGTCGGACGTGCCGAGGGATCGGGCGTCCAGAGCCCTTGTGCCCCGTTGGGCTCGGTAGGGATCAGTTGAGTTTCGTGCGTTACCCCATCCACGGTTTCTACAACCAGAGGTGCTGAGCTAACGTTGCTTGCCTTGATGGCTCAAGTGACGCGCTCGGTGAGCTCGCTAGCGGGTACGTTCGAGTGTAATCTGGGTCCGCCGTTCATGATGGGGTTGGCATAGCCCTCATGTGGCATTACACTGCTCCTTAACCCGCATCCCGACAATTGCTCGGGTCGTTCCGGAGATCGACCCAGGTGGCCCACTGGCCTCCCCTCGATGGAGATTCTGTGGGCATGGCTCGAGGTTAGGATGGAACGAGAAGGTTGAGATGACCCTGTCTGCTTTGGGGCAGACTGGGCGAGGGCCGCTGGGGCTCATCTACGTTTTCTCCCCTGGCTCTGTTTGAGGCGAGGTGGCCTTGAGCCCTTTGTGGGCCGTCCTTCGAACCCCAGTCGGTCGTTGCTCATGTTGAATGAGGCAACTGCCGCTTCGTAATGCAACACAGAGTGTTGTGATGCATTAATTGCATATGCGATGCTTTGGATATATGGGATGAATGAATGACTGTATGAATGAATGTGTGAATGCGTGTATGCAAATGGATGAATGAATGATCATGCATAAGAGAAAATAAAGTAAGAGGGATCGGTAGAGTTACCTTGTTGACCTGAGTGATAGGTTTGAGGAGTTTTTATCAGATATGTCCGAACGGGATCCGAGTTCGCCATTCATGACAGAGTCGAGGTGGCCCACATGGGGCATCCCTCTGGTCCTTAGCTGTCTCTCGGCGTTCGCCTGAGCCATCCGATCAACTTAGGAAGCCCGTTGGTCTCTCTGGGCGGAGATCCTGTTGTTGGGCCCTTCCAGGTCTTGCTT